CTACAGCAACAGTTTGTCAATTTTGAAAAAAGAAATCAGTGTCAGGGAGTTAGTGTCTTCTGCAGTACAAACACTGCTGTTCAGGGGACAATATGTTATAAATTGTCACTTACTCTATGATGACGAAATATTGGATTAAAGGTGTAACATTGTGGAGGATCTATTGGCAGACATTGACTATAATATTCATAATTATGTTTTCATTAGTGTCTAATCACCTGAAAATAAGTTTTTTTGTTATCTTAGGGTGAGCAGTTCTTGTCTACAGAGGAAGCGGGTCGCTTTTCATGCAGTCTGCCGTGTTCTACAGTAGCCCAGAATGGACAAACCAAACAAAATGAATTTTGGCGAGTTTCACTGCCACTGTAGTTTCCTATACACTTGGAACGGGAGAATGAGGTGAGGGGGTTGTAATCTGCTACATCGGTGGATGGCCCTAACTCTTACATACTGACCTCTAAGTTTCATATGATGGGAGGTTTTTCCAAATGAAACATGGCCTGCTGCATCTTGATTAATGAGGATCATAAACGTATACCTCAAATTAACATTTCCCCTCATCCATTACATCCTTGTGGAAGTTCCTTATTTGGCACCTGCTCTCTAGTTAGCTAGTCTAGCTAGTCTAGCCTGGAGGAAAATATCTGGATAAATATCTGCCAAATGTTGTTGTATTCGTGTTTTTGCTTTTCAACTTGTCACCTATCTTTGTGCAGTTGCGATGTGAATCTATACTCTTGGTTGATTTATATATTTTTTGCAGCTCTTTAATTGTTTAATCATGTTGTTTTTAATTTAGTTTTTACACTTATGTGTTTCATTAACATTCAAATAGAGCAGAATCAAATTTCAAGCATCCTTCTATTTTCTGGATTTTTCTCATCCAACTACAACATCCAACATCTGGCTCCTGATTTGCTTGGTCAAACTGGAACTGGTTTTAGCATCTAGCCGGTGGTTTCTACAGTGCCTCCCCTGCCATGAGCCTCTACACTACAGTTGTCTGATGACAAACACCTCTATATGTCATCCGCTATTTCCTCTTGTGACTGGTTGATTGCCCGACCAGCGACACTGCTGCAACCACAAGTCCATAATAATCATAATACTCCCTGGAGGGTTTCAATGTCCAGCTTGAGAACTGCTACAGCGTCTGTGTTGCTCATCTGTCACATGATTTCTGGCTTCAGCACTATTGTGGTGACAAAGGTTCCCTCCAGGTTAACTCATCCACCGAGAACCTGGTACCACAGTTCTAACAGAGAACCAAAGGCAATCCTCTCATTGCAACAGAAAAGTCAGAAATGATTTAAAATGCAAGTTTAATACTAAAAAAGAAAAAAGACAAGGTAGGTACGCAAGAGAAAACTTGATGATTAACTGGGAAAAAAACTATGTGTAAATAAATTGACAATTTTAACTTCAAGATGGGAACATTGTTCTTTGATAAACTGGTCACAGAAATAGGTCACAAACAGACATTGCTGCATTTTCAGGGGTCAGAAGCTAAAAAGCTAAAACGTTTTAATGTTTTACCATGACCAACTTGATTTTTTTCAATGTAATACTACTTTTTGAAAGAACTAATCGAGAAAAAGTCAGGAGGGGCACATCTTTTAAGATGATTTCTAAATTGTAAAAGAAGCTCTTAATAGTGGCTTTAAGCGGTGTCAATCTTTTTCCAGTATTTCCCCATTTATTTCCTTCTAATAAGAATGTGAATAGAGGTTGATTATTACTAAAGAGGGTGGAGGTATAAACTTTTATTATTCTCCTTATTGTGATGTCATTGTCTTCAATCAGCTTAATCTTGGTTAAACTACGTTAATAAGACTTACTAAAGGGAATTTCACTTTCTGCAAATACAACAAGCATGCCAATAAAAGTCAAATAAACACTGAGCTACAGGATTGACGATTGATGATTTTATAATCGCTATGTCTAATTAGTTCAGTGATTATCTTTGTTGCAGCAACACTGTGCTGCCATGGAAATTAGCTGGTAACAGGTGGAGATTTTGAAGTCACTGTTGTTATTCAGTAACTCACTCCAGTGTTGTGCACTGCCTAACAAACTCCTCCACCAGAGCGCCTACTATAAAGTACTAGTGGACAAAAACAGGACAATGGGGCAGTGACACAAACTGTACTGAACAATTATTATCTGCTCTGGCTGCCTCTTTTTACAGCTGCTTTGTCTGGAGGCAAACATCGTCTATTTATCAGCTCTTCCTTTTAACACCTGCTTCTTTTTTCACTCTCTTATGTTCAAGACAGATGGCTTAAACATATATTCTAACATTCTAACTAAAAAAAACTATACAGATATACTTAAGAGATGTGGCATATCTCTTAAGTATATCTGTATAGTTTTTTTTATTATTACTGTATTACAGCAGATATAGGACAAATTTATTTTGTTCCAAAAGACCCAAGTGAGCTGTTGTTGCTGCACTGTGATGTAGCTATGGATTCTTCATACACTACCCCCTTTTTTGATTATTACCCCATTATACAACTTTTGTTAAACAATTTAAATAGGAAATAGGTAGGTAGTAGGTAATAATAGCATTACTAGAAAATATGTATATTCAATGTGTTTTATATGAACTAAAAATGACAAAAATCTAAAAACTTATAGTATGCATTTGTTATATTCCAAACTTCAATCCTCTTCATCATAATCCCCAGCTGAACTTAGTAGCATTATTAAAGAATAGTATCAAACTTTAATATATCTAAGCACTTCTCCTGTGTCTAAATGTCCTACAGCCCTGAAGCAAAATAAGTCAAAATTGCTTTCAAATTATATATAGCCTGACTTTCAGCAACATCCATGTGCAAATACTGTATCGGCTTCTTCCTCTGCAGAACTGGAGGACAGTCAACTCTAACCTTTTGCCTCATTCTCAACGCTTTAATTTATCTTACTGTCCCTCAGGCCATCTCAGTCCTTGAGCCCTCTGCAATTGTATGGAATATTATAATTTAATGCATTCTGCCCATACTGATTTGGAAAACAATGGACAAAGGATGTACATAGAGTAATGTTCTGAAACCCATGGCTAATCATTGCTTACCAGCACATGAAGAAATATCACATATCTCTAAGATGCATGTAAGAAGGAAAACTATGACAAAAAAAAATATTGGTTGGTAAGAATAAGAAACTAATTTTAGCCAACAGCTTTAAAAGCTCTTTTCAGCCACAGATGGTGCTCATTGGAAATCCACAGGAATCACACACTAAAAAACAGTAGGAAAAAGACACAGGTGACTCAGTGTATCTGACTACTAAACTGCTACTCCACAATCAAATTAAATAGAACGTCAAAAAAAAAAGAAAAGGACACCAGTAAAATGGTTCAACTGCCCACACAAATATATTTCATACTACAGGGAACAAAACTTAATGGTAACAGATGATGATCATGACCCTGATTCAATTTATCGCCAATCTAACCTAGAGAGACATGCTGAAATTGGAAAAAGAACAGTAAGTCAGGATCTATTAATCCCAGTAGTAAGAATGTGATGCGGCAGTCCAAACTGATATACGAAAAAAGGAATAACATTTCTTGGAGAAAACTGTTTTTCTTTAACTTTGCAGCTTACATACAAACATAGATCGTTATCTTTTCCCCAGCATGCACAGCTGGTCATAGTATATCATATATTGCTATCAAATACCTACAGATTTCCCTGTGCCAGCTATACGGCTAATTCATCCTAATCCCTGTGTACTTTGGATTAGACCCAGTACCCAATATTGGACACTGCCCTGCCTTCACAGGATCAATGACAGGGTTCTTATAAACCTGGTAAAAGGTTCCGTGACACCTGTTCTTTGTTCTGTGATATGTAAAACACTCATCAACACTTTATACGAAGCTCATGATGAACCACAGAAATGTAAACACAATCAGAAATCTCCTCTAGTCCCGCTAAGCTCCTCATGCTCAAATAATTACCTTCCTGGAATGATCATCCTGCTGATTCAGGTGTTTTGAGGAGAATCTCAGTAAGAAAGGTCGAACTCTTATTGTAATGCAGCGGTGTGTGATCACAGACTCTTCATCGCTCATATCTCAGCAATATAAAGTAGAGTGGCCCTGCTGCAGATTAGAAAACTGCTGCTAAATGCAATTCATCACACGTTATCATTTTACCACATTGCTGCAGTTATATAGTGTGTGTTCAAATACGCTGCATTCTTGTGCATGCGTGCGCCTGTGCAGATGTGTATGAATGTGTTTTCTGTGGCGAATTCCAGACTGAGATTGCTGCTGGACTATGACCAAACAGTGACAGTGTGAGAGAAGTACATTCTCCCACAACAAAAGGATTATAGTGGAGACAAAGTAGAAACCAGAAGCAAAATATCATATGTAAGCAGCACAGTGGAGAGAGAGGGTGAGACATATGGATATTTTTTTTGGATTCAATATCGACCTCAACACAAAACAAAGATTTTAGCCTTAAAATGACTATAATGGTGTTTTTGTACATTTTAGTACCATATCTATTTTTGCTGACAAATCTCTAAGTTTTCATACTGTTTTTTTAACCTGAAAATAAGAATGGTTGTAATCAATATTTTATATTAACAATGGATCACATGGCTATTTCTATGTGAAAGGGGACACGTGAAGAGACAAACAGAAAACTATCACCCAACTCTGCAGTTCCCCTTAGTTATACAGTATCACAGTTTTCCACTTTACTGTTCTGGTTCACTTTACCAGTCTCATCAGCATTGTTTTACAGTGCAGCAGGCAGCTGATTGATGCTTAGAAATCAGACAAAATGCATTCAGATTTCTAAAACACAACAGCATGGTTTGCCAAACGGTGATCTCAAGTATGAGATTTGTAGAAAATGGGCTAAAACATGGAACATCATCAAAATCAAAATAATCACACTATTCATGTCCACAAAATGCAATCTAATTCTAATATGCGTGGCTGTAATTATCACTAAAGTATCAACATGATTTCCTACCTTGCCAAGTATTCCCCCGAGCTTCCGTTACTCTGTTGTATATCCATACAGTTTGTAGTACCAGGTATGAGTGCCAGGGCAGGATTCTGTTGGGCTGCACTGCCCACCGCCCGTGCGACCAGCTCCACTGAGTCTTGGACGTAGTGATCCAGAGAAGGGGACCCCATGACCCCATGTGCCAGTAACCCCAGAGGCAACCCCTCTGTTCTCAGCTCGGCCACATTCTGGCTGTCCCCCAAAACCCAGTGAAACTCTGGGAGCATCATCCGGGTGGCCAGCGTCCACAGACGGCGAACCTCACGGATCTCGCACCCAAATGTCACCACTCCTGTCGTGGAGGAAGGTTCTCTCAGGGCCTCCAGCTGCCGCATGAGAGCTTGCTGCTGGTCTGATTTGGAGGATGAAGTGGACGAAGAAGCAGGAGATGAGGCAGCGGGGGAGAAATAAGGTAAAGATGACAATGACGACGTCGCATCCACTCCTGTTGCGACACCTGATGCCACTCCTGAGTGTGATAATGAAGATGAAGTCTGTGGCGAGGTTGAGGCGACAGTTGTCAGGTTGACAAGAGTGCCCAGGTGGAAGCGGGTGTTGTTCTTGATGAGGACGAGGAAGTCGCTAATGTCCCATTCCTGACAGAGCACAACACTGATGTCCCACCAGCCATTCATCATCAGCAGGGAATAGAGGAGACGGGATGGCGGGGCCTCCACGGTCCGCATTGCCATTTGGAAATGGAGAGAATTCTGTTGGGAGATTGTAGCAGGAGCAGGTGTAATGGGAGATGATTTGGCAAGCGGGTGTGAATGGTTTACACAAAGGACAAGCAAAAAGGTTAGAAGGGTGAAAATGGAAGACAGCGGAACAGAGAAAATGATGTGATTTGGGAAAGTGGTGGTAAAATGTGAGAAAGGGAGAAGGGAAAGATGAGATGCAAAAAGCATGAAAGGCAAAGTAAGGACAATGGAAGGATGGTTGAGGAGGAGGTGAGGTGCAACGTTAAGAAAGAAGGTTAGAAAGGAATAAGAATAGGAAGAGGGGGCACCAGGAAGAAGAAACAGATGTAGCAGAGCGGAGAAGAGAAGAAAAAAGGAAAGAAAGGAAGACAGAAAGGTTATAAATTGGACAGTAGAATTACTTCCTATCTTAGAATTCAATTTGTTCCTCGAGAACAAACACAGTCTGTTGGATATAATGGATTTCAGCCTCCACTTACCTGCCTCCATGAATATCATTATTCACATCATAAGAAATACACTACATCTATTTTTATGTGTACTCTATTTGTATTTTAAGCAACCTCAAACCTAAAGAAATTCAACCAGGTGCCATTTCAAAGGGGCCTTTCACATACTGTACTATGTAATGTAATCACACCTCTGATTTGTGATTCATAAATTCATCAGCTGATTGATGAGACCTGGACGGATCAATGGGCAGAGCACAGCAATGGTTGGATGATAAAAGAGTGTGGTCTTGTTGTGATGAAAACCATCCACCAAATGGTTAAATGCTCAAGAAAGATAGCAAAATGAAAAGCTTGATTATTTGTTTTGCCTTTTGACAGTAGAATTACCAAAGATATAGATATGATAAATATAATTTACGCTATCTTTCATGGTCTGGTCTGAGTATACATAATGTTACAAATCTTACATAAACAAGATCTCAATTTTGTGTGTGAGAGGCTGAGTGCTTGCTTGCTTTGTAATTTGGGAAATGGGCTTTCTGTCAGTGATGTTTTATATTGTACTATACCAATATAAAACAAATTAACAACATATTTTGTTAAATGACCATACAGGTGGTGTTATATTAGCCCATCAGTGACATGTTGTGTAGTCTTTATATTGCTGTTGACCATTTTCCAAATTCTATAGAACCTTTTCGTATTGATTTTCTACCTTGCAGGCTACAGCTGGTTTCATTTTATTTCAGTATGTTAAATCACCTTTGAGAGCCTCTGAATGTGCTTGAGATAACTAATCCACAGTGAAACATCCACTGCCTTTCGTTTTTTGTTTAGTCACAGTTATCTTTGTGTTATCGTGCAATGTTGCATGCAGGGACCAATTTCAGAAGTCTCCTTTTCTCATTGATGTTATCAAAAAATCAATCCAGCAGACAAATAATATGCAAATATTGATACTGGAATTGTGTGATTATGTGAAGTTGTTCAGCAGCAGGACTCTCAAACCATCTCTCTCAAAACATGGCGGTTTAACATGCCGGGCTGTGTGGAAGAGGACTCTATAGACAAAAACGGTTAATTCTAACGAAAACACAATGATTCTTATTTTCAGGTGATCATACACTAATTAAAAAACAAATCTATAAATATTATAATTAATTTCTGCTAATAGATCCTCCAAAATGTTACACACTGGACCTTTAAAAAAGTCACTAAAATGCTCTCTATGATCTTAACCAAGTCAAGCACTCATTTCTTATATGTCAAGAAAGTGAAAACAGCTTTCCGCAAGGTTGAACATTCATCTTAAAAATGCTCTAAAAAATGGTTGACAGCAATGTAAAATATCATATGTAACTGGCTGAAACAGGAAAAACCACAGAAAAGGTCCGCTGACTCCCTTCGACCAGTGCAAACCTACTGTACTCTACACATACAGTGCATTGCACCTACAGGATTATAATAAGCCAGAAGATCAGAACAGATACGTTTCAAAGTTGACACAGTCAGCCCTGTAATACTTTAGATAAAATTAAATAGGCCAGAACAGGCTGTATGAGCTGCCAGTGCTGCTTCAGTGTACCTTGGCATACTGTACCCGACGCTCAACATACCAGCCACCCAGGCAATCAATTAGTCATGCATTTGCTTGCATGCACTCACACACACACACACACGCAGAACTACACACACTTAAAAGGCCCTCAGCAACTCTGTTTAATTGACTTTACAACTTTTACACAAGCTTTGCACTAAAAGTCCATTAGATTAATCTATTGGCTAATTTCATTTATCCCATTAATCACTCTACCCAATAGGCATGCAAATAAGACAATTATTCATCTGCTTATTGCATATACATGGATGGATTTTTGCTGCAACAAAAGCACCAACAAAAGCAATACTACGTGTTCTATTTCAAATTTAGAAATCCTGTGTCAGGGAAAGAAATGGTAATGCAGTCCACAGGGCATCAGACCCTCACCTCCTCTCATCTCTCAGGAGAACTGGAGGATTTTATTCTCCGCTGCTCCACTTGTGCACTGTGATCACCATAAATCTGTAACCCTCTTTTTGTTCCTCGTGTAAATAAACTGGGAAGATTTTGCTAGAAAGTGCGACTGCTTGCTCTGTTACATAAATACAGAGGTCTTCTGCTTTTGATGCACCAGGAAATCCCAGCTCTCCTGTCACTTTGCTCTCTTTCATCACTCTTCTCACTTCAAAAATCTTCATTTTTTTCCTATGATTCCCACAGCCAAAATGTATTTGCTGTGAGTTTTTATGTGAAGAAACTTGCAACCCTTGCTGTATGGTAAAACTGCAGGGACTGGCAGAATCATGAGCCAGTGGACAAATCAAATAAAGTAGTAATGACTTGGTTATTGATCTTTTTTTGATTAGATGATTCATTGTGTGAAAACTGATTTAAATGGGTATCCTTTTTTACAAGATTACAGAAGTTTTCTTTGGTACACATATAGAACACAGCCCCGTCTTTGCAATAATTTACAGAGAATGTTGGTTTAGCAAAAACCCAACATATTGCAAATGTTGCAAAATGTGCTGGGGGTCTCACTATTTATCTTTTCAAAGCAAGAAATCCCTATATGGCCCCAACACCTAATTCTAACACCTACCCATACCTCTCAACCTTTCATCCCACTGTCCACCTGATGTCACTCCCAGCGTTATTTATGAAGGGACTCCACTAACTCCATAGTCAGCAAAGCCCTATCGTTCATCTGTTATCCCTAGATAGATGGTTAGGACATAATTACTCCGATATCCTAATCAGTGTAATCTACAAATTAATTTACCAGGATCAAATTGAAAAGATATTTCTAGGTTTACTGTGTATAAGTGCTTTTTTTAAATCTTACTTTTATACTGACATCCTTCAGTCCCAACTCACTTATTGTGAGTTGTAAACTATATTTTTAATATATATTTAAAAAACCACAATTTTTATATATCTGGCACACTGCATGAGTGGGTATGTGAGGCACATGAGGTTTAACACGTCTACACATGCCAAAACACAGAGATAGAAAAAAACTATCATGAAAAAGGACTTGATTGGTCATGATTTAAAACACTACAAAGGTGGGTCATTTTAAGTTCTCTGTCAATACCTCATACGCTGCATGTCAGCCTATGATTGCTGGTAAGTTTGAATGTGTGTACTTGCCACATTTTCATCAGTTACTGCTACTGTTGTAAGGATTGATCCAGACTATTTTGGGTTGTCAGTGATTTGGAGCACACAAAATAAAACGGCTGATTGTGATAGCTGACACTGACGAATTCTGTTTTGTGGCATTCAATATGACCCAATTTTGAGTTAATGTGACTGTGATAAAGTCCAAAGACCATGACGTATTTACACATCGACTCATTTCTTCATATGTAGCTTCTTTCTGTCCTGATAAAAACATGTTCAGACTATCAAATTGTACACTGACTGACTAGTGCAGTTGTTAGTTACACCTGTACAAACTAATGCAGTGCAGCACAACACCACTAAGTACAGCCTTAAAAACTGACATAATATTTAATCATCAACATTGATTAAACTGATACTGACTGCAAAAGCTGAACATGATAAGCTTAGCAACGGTTGGATTTCTTGCAAGACATTAGCACGTTTGTACTGATTAAATTGTACAGATGGATCTAATGAATCGGCAACACGGTGGATACCTCACGCATCTGCTGGTAATTTTCATTGCATGCCTTCACATCCACTCTGTATATGCCCTTTGACATAAAGGAAATATCTGCAACACATTTTAATGCAAAGAGCATACATTTGTAGATAATTGGATTAAGTAGCAATAGATATTTGCATAATATATGCTTTATGCTCTCACTGAAGATGCTATATTTTCCACAAGCTCAGTCCTCCTATCAGAAACAGCTGGTCTTTCCCAGGGAGTTTCCTTTCCCCATGAGTTTCTCCATCCCTGGCCTTTATATGCTAAATCCTCAGTTCTGTGCTGCTTCCAGGACCCATTGCCACCTACTCCCAACCCACCTAGCCCCTTTACTCTGGGGTCACTTTATGCTTTGGTCCTTAAGCAGGCACATCATTTGGACACTTATATAACAAACCGTGGGCAGATTATATTATCAAAGGCTGCTTGCTGATTCATTATATTATACAATTTTCAACAGTGAACTTTCTTTAACCTTAATTATAAACTTTGAATAAATGTGGCAATAGCAAATAAAATGATGATGATATCCTCTAAAGACACTCAAAAAGTTTTCATATTTTGAAAACTCTGTTTTGGAGAAATTGCTGTCAGCCTTCAGTTGGGATTTGCAAGCAAAACTAGATTGAGTCAGAGGGGAGTTAAGCCATTTCTCTAAAAGTCACACACAAGCACTGCACAATCTGTTTGTATGGCTGCCTATTTCGCAGTCAGTTTTTCTGCCAGTTCATCCTTCCATCCATCTACCCACCCATTCATCCATCCATCAATCTTTGTCGGCTGGTTTGTCTGCTTTACCTACACCTGTTATTTCACTTTTAAGAACCTGTTTGGACTTTAAACACCTGCTGACTCCTTACAGTGAAATGCTTCCTTGTGCACAGAGCAGGAAATTAGATATTACCCTGGAGAAACGCACACACACACACCTACACAAACACACACCAACACACACACACACACACACACACACACACACACACACACACACACACACACACACACACACACACACACACACACGGATGCATGCACATGCACACACACACACACACACACACACACACACACACACACACACACACACACACACACACATGCACACACACACCCACATTACTATAGCTCAGTAGGTGGCATGTGTCCCAGAGCCCTTCAGTCTAACTAATGATTCGGATGTGTGTGTTTCTGTGTGTGTGTGAGTGTGTGTGTGTGTGTGTGTGTGTGTGTGTGTGTGTGTGTGTGTGTGTGTGTGTGTGTGAGAGAGATGAGTGTTGAAAAAAACAATGATGCTCTTTCCCACTCCCAGAACGGTTGTGTGTGGAAAGTCAAACACACACACACACACACACACACGCACACACACAAAACTCTTACTGCTCGTTGGTACTCATTGATATGCAGTAACTGCCCTGTTAGTGCCACCTAATTAAAGAGGTTTACAGTGCATAGTTACACTGAATCATTTTGTGTATCTGTCTGTGTGGGTGTGTCTACTTGTACTTGAAATTTCTACCTGTACGCACAAATAAATACACACACTCACAAATACTCTCAGTAGGTTTCTTTTCCAGAGAATGATAATTGATGAACCGTCCCAGTGATTAATTTGGAGTGTTTACACTTTTAACTCATTTTCTCTTTCTCACATTCTAGCGGCAAACTCTACTGATAATCTTCAGTCTGTGTATTTGGCACAAGAACAGCTTTTTTTTGTTCAGCTCATAAAATTGACTAAGCTCACGACCCACCTCCTGCCAACTGTCAAGGTTAATTTTAAACATGAGGATGATCTTCCTCCAACCTAAACAAAACGGTAGTTGCCTAACCATAAATCCATAAGGGAGACCAGAAAATGCTATATAATTTTGTTTTAGAAGGCACTGACAAAAACCTTTTGTTGTTCTGATGTTCTCTATGCAGGTCTTGTTTCCTACAAACACCTTAGATCTCTAAAGTTTCACAGATTGCGTACCTCACCTACCCAAACCATTTCAAAGCTAAATTCAAAAGATGGATGGTTATTATTTCTTAAAAAGTCCTGCCTACTTTTACAGAAAGATAGCTCTTGGTTAAAACAAAGCTGATAGTAAAAATATATTGCCCACTGGTTTAAAAAATGATAATGCCACTGCAGATTATATTTTACTTCATGTAAAAGTTCTTATAATTGAGTTTTCCAGTCAAGTGGGTACATTTGTAAAAAGGACTGCATATATACTGTAGGCTAGCCAAATATACATAGAGGTCGTTTGAAGAACAGGTGTGAAAGAACCTTTATCACGTAAAAAATCCATCTTGCCAGGCTTCAATCTATGTGTTTGTGGCCAAACTAAATTGGTACCAGACCATCCTTCAACATACTTTGACGTAGTACTGAAAGCTATTTTTTGAAAGTGCTTGCCCTTTTCCAAACTTCCCTCTTAGTTCTGTGTAACAAAACATCTTGCACAGTCAGGTTAGGGGAAAACAATTTTGACTTCAATGTAAAATTCCTTCATATTTTGATGTATGGTTGACTCACTGTTGGCCATTCAGTGTGCATTCACCTCTGGGGTAAACTTGGTCTCGCTTATGGGTGGCTCTGCCATAAATGGGTTCTATATACTGACATTAGAGTTTGAATTTGGTTTGACTTTAGAATTAGTCCTCTGATTCAAGAATGATTGTCATATAGATGTCTAATAATGATTAGTGGATAGATTGTCATAGCTGTCATGTTGTTTTTGTTGAAAGGAGTTTGATTGAATACTGTAGATGTGTACTTCTTGAGGTTATCTAAAGCTTTTACTAGTGTGTGCGTGTGTGAGTGTGTGTGTGGATTAATCTCAGCTGGGGAGGTAGTAAGTTGTTAAAATGAAGTATAGTACCAAGTTGATTCTTTTACTACAGTATACTCATGTGCTCTCTCTCTCTCTCTCTCTCTCTCTCTCTCTCTCTCTCTCTCTCTCTCTCTCCATAGTGCTGAACTTCTGCTTTGTGTACACAACAAAGCATTTTTCTTTATGCATATATACCCTTTGGGGCATGTGCTGCTGGGTGCACGCAGCCTTCAATCGCAGTTTTACTTGTTACATTTTTCTGTAGAAGATAAGAGAATGCACTCTCCTCCTCCTCTTCTGCAAACAGACAACCAGTGCACATTGTAGATTTCAGCACCATGGACAGAGCCGCTGGTGCTGTCCATGCTCCCTAATTTGCTTTCAGTCTGAAGCCACTGCAGCCTTTTCCAGCTTTAAATGTGAAAATCAAGAACTCCAACTCTTGTCACATATTGTGTGTATCGCCACTTTAGCTTAATTTGGGCCATTTAACCAAGAGTGGTGAAATCAATACTGAACAAGAAAAGAAAAGAAAGGAAAATGTTCTGCCCTTCATCTGAAAGAATGCCTAATACACACAGGAGGAGGAGGAGGAGGAGGAGGAAGAAGGCCAGGAACAACAGAAGGCAAGTGTCTCCCCTTCCAGCCTCTGTCTAATATCTGGGCCATGATGGTGAATTAGGCCTCATAAATCCACATGAGCTCATTTTATTCACGTCTTAAAACTGAGATAAATCTATCTTTGTGTGAATTGAACTGTTGGACATATGGTGTTCAACTTCACTAGTCACGGAGGCAACCCGTGTTTCTTTATATAACATCTGTTACACCTGTATAGACACAGCCCACTGCAGCTGGATGCCGAAGTGCAGTAATCAACAGTTAACAGCAGTTCTAATGAAACTTAGGAATAACTTTTTTTTTTTTTTTTTTTTTACCTCACTCTGGCGCGTAAATTCTCTCTGCACAACGCTGACTACTGGCACCCGGAGCGCAAGTGACACGAACTCCAATTTGACAAACTCGTCCCGGTTCCGTGGAAAGGCGATCATGGCGGACACCCCCTGCACGACCACGGTGTGACACACGCTCTCCACGAAGGACAGCGGGTCCTCGATCTCGGGGCTGCCCGCAGAGGAAGAGGAGAACGCGGGAAGCTCGCCGAGTCCGGACCCAACTGCCATGACAAGCTCCATGGATAAATTGTATGGCAGCAATCCGGCCCGGTTGAGAGCCTCGACCGCGAGCAGGACCGAGTCGCGGGGTGCGAACACGCGGTTCTCCTTCGAGGTGTTCTCTTCCCGCTGTCGTGCCTGGCTCTTACTCCTGTTGGATCCCCGCTGGCTATTGGCGGTGCCCCTGGTCCTGAGGCTTCCATATCCAGGCGCACTGGCACTTGTTTTAACCTGCTTTTCCAACTCCAGCAGCCGCTCCCCGTTCCCTATCAAACCTCGATCGCTGTCCCAGTCCTCAGGACCGCTGCCGGCGGTGGTGGTGGCGAGCAAGCGAGGCTGGACATGCAGAGCCCCGACCCGAACCGTGTGGCCGATCCGTTTCAGCACCTGGCACGGCTGCGGGTGCGAGCGAGCGCACAGGGGGAGAAAGACGAGTGCGCACAGAACTAAACATAATGATGGCGAGACCCCGGTGCCAGCTCGAGCTGCCGAGCCATTCATCATCATCATCGTCACCACCGTCTTCATCATCCGCGCTCCACAGCTGCACCGGATGCCCCGTACAACCGCAGAACGGCCGAACACCGGGGCCGCTCCGTTGGTCCCCCTCCTGGCCCCCTGCGTGTGGCCCTGGCGCACCGCTCAGACCAGCTGCAGCCCCCGCTCCAGCAGCTCCGGCTCCAGCTCGTGGCAAAGTTGTGCGTTTCTCCACGGACACAGACAACAGGCTGCTGAGGCGCGAGATCAGGCACGAGCCGCGCACAAGCAAAAAATTATCCCCAAAAGTGCTGTTTTTCATCTCAAAAGATTTTCATCATTCAAGCCTTTTGATTATTAAACAGGTCATGGAATCAGATGGTACAATTTCCAGATATTCCAGTGGCAGAAAAAAAAAAAATAAAAAATGAAGCAGAGTGTGTGTAGGCAAGCCCAGAGGAGGAAATGTCGAAAAACAGGTTAATGCGCATCAAACACGTTCCAAAACAGTGAAATCCACCACTGGAAACATCTGATGGCTTCAAAGGAAAATTATCCCATTATCATCCAGAGCGCAGGAGCCAAGACAACATTACTTCGTCCCGGTACTCGAGAAGAAAAAAGAAAAAAACCTTTTCCCCCTTGTTAAACACCCGAGTAGAAGCTTTCCAGAGCGCGCGTGCTGCTTGGCTCGAGTCAACCTCTGTACCGACACTAGTACCGGCGAGACCTCCAGCACGAGAGCGCGGTCTTCTGCGCACGTTCCAATGAGACTTAACCCCGTCCTCACTTTACCTCCACCCCAGCAGTGTCAGTGGGATAGGTTATGAATAAATATAGCGAAATACCACACAACTAAATAGATAGATAGATAGATAGATAGATAGATAGATAGATGGATACATAGATAGATGGAAAGGTCTGATCATCAGATCAAATGATTCTAACCGGAGCTTTAGATTTATGAAGAGAGCAACAAATCTTATCTTGTCCACAAGGAATAGAAGACATATAGCTGGCTGAATTTACTTACTGTTTTATGGAAGTATAACATCACCTCTGCGAGTCTAGTAAAACTTGACACGCCATGAACCAAGAACACCAAGACGCATTAGTCTATACAGCAGCCCAGCAATAAACAACAGAATGGTTGAAGGTTTTTGTCTAGATTGTGTCCGAGGGGCGTTGATTTCGATTTATGGTCATATTCTAACCTGTCGTAGTGGTTACATAAATATGCAATATGTTACATTATTATGTAATAATAATATGTACATTACACTTCAAAGCCTGACCTCAGACAGTTCAACACTACACACTAACAATTAGAGACAAATCCACACTTCTGTTACAGTTTTACAAAAGCTAAACAATCCATTTACAAAAATTGATTGATTGATTGATTGATATGATGAATACCTAAGATTGCTGTGTTCCTAATAATGTGTCCAGCAGCTGTATGGCTCCCAGGCCTTACACAAGGTAGAGGATTTATTGCTTATCAAAGTATAATGTCTGCAGCTCTACTGTACAGCTAATGACACATTTACACATGTGCCTACTTAAACCAGGGTCAATCTCACGTTTTAAACCTGCGCCCTGATTTTATTACAGCACAAAATATCAACATATCTATATCTGTATCTGTTTTTAAAGAAGCATAAGTTAATTTTTCATGAATAATCTAAACATGTTCAAAAACATTGTGCAACACATTGACAGGATTTGTGAGATTTTATTGTAGACATGACCTACACTGTGTGTGTGTGTGTGTGTGTGTTGGTGCGTGTGTGCGTGCATGCTCAGCCAATTTAGACAAAAGCAGACAGCCACCTGCTCTTAATAAGATTGTTTTATTTAATCATATCTAAGGACACCCGATTAGATCGTTAACAGCTGCTGAAGGAGGGTTTGTTTAACTGATGTGCCCCATGTTGCTGTGGTAACCCACAGGTCAGAGGTCACCATTGACCCATCAGCAGCCCCAGTTTAAATAGCGACCCAGATTAATGATTGGTTAATTGTCTGATCTAGATTAATGATTGGCTAATGGTCTGTCTTGAAAGCAGAGGCTGTCTACCAGGATATCAGAAGATCAATGACCCTGATCGATCTGATACAGCATGACCTCAAAGGATGGGACAGGAAGGAAAAGAGAGAGAGATAGAGATTTTGACAAGAGAGGAAGAAGAGGAGTAGGTGGCAACCAGAGGGACTGTGGGAGAAGGAGGAGAGAGAAGCAGAGGGGATGGAGAGGGAAGGGGAGCACAGACATGGAAATGGGAGGATTGATGGGAGGAGAAATGATGGAGAGTGAGGCAAAGAGAGATAGAGAGGAGGAGTGGAGGAGTGGATGCTGTAAGGTCAAGAGAAGAGGAAGGAGAACAGGTAAATTAAGACAGAATGTGTGAAATGAGAGGCGATAAGAGGCTGCTTCAGCTGCACCCTCTTTAAGGAATCGAGGGTATTATGAATACAAGAAAGATATTTTATTGAAGAAGATGATACAAAAGCAGAAGGGGGCAGAAGAAGGAGAAAATTGCACTGAGCGAAAGATTCAAGGTGAGATTTAAGAGTGAATCTTTGAAAGAGTCATCATAGTTGTTGTTGCACCAAAAAAGCAATTCTGTTTTTTTTGTGGTTTTTTTTGCTATTACATTTTGCCCCATGTGGAGGAATGGGATATCAGGCAGCCATGTGCTGCACAGGGCTTTCAAAAAGGCTTCAGTCAGAGTGTTAATTCTAATTCCAGCTCTTGATAAAGAGACAGTTTAATCACACAATGGTTGAAGATTACCTCTGCCATTGGAACTGAGCTCAGAGGAGAAAGTTCATACTTTTACTTTGATATTCTAGCTGTTTCCCCATGGGCCTCTCGTAGGAAATTCATGCTTTTTGGGGACTGTATGGACATTTTTGGGGGAAATGGATGAGGGCATTGTGGTTTTTATTTTTGCTGATGGGATGTTTGCCTTTATTTTTTCTTTTCATACCCCATTTACCCCGTTTTATTTCATCCATCCCCTGTGAGATTTACTTTTAAAAAAGAAATCAAATAAGCACATAAAAAGATGGCTTTTGTGTGCTCAATGGGTCACAAGGGCCATATGCACATGAAAAAAGTCCTAGTTATTAGTGTCTGTTATCTCTGCCAAAGTAATTTCACTAGCCCACAGTAGCCTGCATCTTCACTATATTCTTCGTCATAACAGAGTTGCCGTGATAATATCAAGTCTCCTGATCAGTGGCGTGAAATGAAACATGACAGACTGATCAGAAGACACACTTTATCATTCATTCTTCCACAGTTAGCTCAGCTGTAATACAGACTTTTAGAAATGTGTGATAGCACTTTGTGTAAAACCAGAAAAACTGAGAATAAACCACATTTTCTGTTCATTGAGTAGCACTGACTTAGAAAATAGTTTTTTTAAAATGCATTTTTACATAAAAGTTAATGAAAGTCTGACCAAAACTAAACCCACATGTATGTTAAAATGTTTTTCCAGCACTGCTTTTGTCTTTCTTACTTTGTCTGTCTGCCCACTTTTGAGCTCTTTATGTAACTTCCTGTGTGCCCAACTTTGTTTGTACCTGGCAGCTGGTCCTCCTGCTTGCAGGCTCATCTGATTTCACATGCCTGTCCACCTGCCTAGCTGGAACACCTATAAGTTGCCCCCCTCTTTTGTCCCTGTCTGAATATCTGTCTGACCTCTTGTCAGACTGCATATTCATCCATGTCCCCGCGTGTCTGCTTTGGTTGTCTGACTTGCTGACTATTTCCTTCACCTGTCTGCTTCCCTGCTGATCTTTCCGCCTTCCTCCTCGGTCAGTATCATTGCGTAACTGTCTGCCTGACTGTCTGTCGCTCTGCCTGCCTGTCTGACAGTTAGTCTGCTCGCTGTATCGTGGTGCTGCAGACTTCTCTGACCCTTACACCTGCCAACCAAATTCCTCCATGGTTCAATTCTTTCCCCCTCAGCAGCAGGGCTTATGAACAAATGAAACCAGAAGGCACAAAGAAAAATCAAGGTTAGAGCACCTATTAGACACCGACTGGGTCTAAATGCACCAACACGCACAGATCACACAGACACACAGCCTTCCATGCATACAGGTACATTGATTTACTTTAACAAATACAGGCTACCAAATTCTGTCTTTTGTGAAGCTAAAAGGGCATTTGAGGAGAGGAAACTTGATATCTTTGCAAGATTGTCTCATAGTGTTATTTGCCTATAGTTTTTGAGAAAGTTGTATGATTATGACTGAGGTATAAGTTTGCATGGAAGCCTTGATACAGTTGGGACAGCATGAGCAAACGCCTTATTTTTAAATATTTAATCCCCCTATCGGTCTGCTGTCACAGCTTCAAGTTGTTGCTGTAACTTTTAAAGTGATGTTTTGATTTATAAATGTTTCTTTTTTTTTCTCAGCAAATAGCACTATTGTCAACATGTTTGTTCAGAGTAGCAGTATTTTTTTTTGTACAAGTATATGTTGTTACAAATATCTTACACACAACCACTTCCTTATGCTGTTTTTCCCCTTTTGAGTCTCAAATGAAATGATTCAGTAAAGCAAGGCAGTTGGTGTTTGAAAACAAAACAAGGAAAGATTTCTGTTGTTTGTCCAAAAAAAACATAATTAGGCATGCATTGAGTAAAGAAGTATATTCTCTCACAACCAGCGTTACCAGAAATGAAATAAAAAAACAGAATGAAGAGAAGAAATGAAAGACTGATACGCTTGCAATCAATCAGTCCGCAGTGTGACTTTAAATTTTACAGCACGGCTCTGCCAAGGTCAAGTGGTCGAGCCAAAAAACAAGAAATAAAGTTGTTTCCAGTAGCTTATTCATATGTTTCCATTATGCATTTTACAGCAACTCACACCAGGAATTCAAACATTTTCATTTGTTTTAGTCTTGTTTATTCACTTGAGCTCAGACTGTTACAGTGGTTTACATTTACTGAGTCCATTTTTCTTTTACACATCAAGTAACAAAGCAGTTCATTCAACACAGAGTGTATAAAACCACATGAAGCACCTCTCATGAATGAAAGATATTCTCTAAGGGGAGAACAATTTATATTCAAATCTTAGCCACTAATAGCTTTTTATGCATGCTATTATTCACGATAATAGTGGAGGGAAGAAATGATAAGAAATGATAAGAATATTTGCATCCTGACCACAATTATCACAGCTCTGGCAAGGTCTTAATGATCCAGTGGAGGTCACAGAATACAAAAAGGCAATAAAACTACCACGACCAAGTGTACGAACTGCCAATACATGTACAATACAGTAGTTCTCTGCAGAAGCGATGATTTAGAGGAATTCAAAGAAGATAAGGAACAAAACAACATATAAAGACTTTAAAATAAAATAGCAGGTTGGGATGATTGGGATAAATAACCTTGAGAGTTTGGATGAGTCATCTTTGGGTCCTGTACTCCTATTTGGGTTGAGACTATGCAGTGAATGTGAACACAACATAACAAGATGGGCAGAGAGACACAAAACTGAGAAAAAGACAGCAGGAGAAACAGAGAAAACACACATGAGAAATACACACATTCCAGAGAAATAGCAGGGGAGTGAAAAGTCATTTTTTAACTATTTGTGCTGTTTTCTAATCAGAATTGAACTGCAACAGTCCTTCCCTCCAAACCCCTGTTTTATCTCACAG